CTGTAGCTGTAGCTGTAGCTGTAGCTGTAGTAGTAGTAGTAGTAGTAGTAGTAGTAGTAGTAGTAGTAGTGGTAGTGGTAGTGGTAGTGGTAGTGGTAGTAGTAATCGTAGTAGTAGTAGCAGTAGCAGTAGCAGTAGCAGTAGCAGTAGCAGTAGCAGTAGCAGTAGTAGTAGTAGTAGTAGTAGTAGTAGTAGTAGTAGTGTATAGAAATAGTGTTCTCAGCATTAGCAAACAGGAAGAACAATAGGGTTTAGCGAAGTTGCTCGGATCTCGAGACAGGCTGTGAAACAAGATCTGCCCTGAAAAACTCCATGATATTCCGGGCCCTGAGGCTATAGGGACTCATGCTTCAAGGAAAGTGGGTCCGAACTTTTACCATGCCATGTAAGGCTTCAGGGCCTTAGGGTTAAAGTATGGAGCACTGTGTAATGAAGCCTCGGGGAACAGCAGCAGGTCGCCGCAAGCCTGTAAATCCTCGTAAGACCCGAAATCGGACTGAATTCTGACCTGAGGTCTATGTGGCGCCGGGTCGCTTGCTGGGTTCTTTCCACGACGGAAAGCCCGGGCCACTTGAGCATCAATTGCTTCTAGGGTTTACGGTTTTGTCCTGGACTACCTATAAACTCTAAGACCCTAAGGTTCTTAAGATACGTGACCCATCCATGCGGACACATCCACTTGTGCCCCCTCTCTGTCTCTCTCGCTTTCTCTTTCCATTCCTCCCTCGATCCTCCTCCACTGTCTCTCTCGTTGCCCCTTGCTCATTTTACGAGTCCCTTTGCCTCCAAACCACTTCAAGAAAATGTGTCATCTGAGTGGCTGCAATACCTCGAAAAGGTAGCAGTACTGCTTAAACTGGCACCAATCAGAACCACAATCGCAAGGTGCACCACGTGACGACCGGAGAGTGGGTAGTCTAGTCCTCTTGCATCAAGCTGCAAAGCGACGCTTAACAAGAGACCCTCACCGTTCTTTTTTGGATGCTTGGTTGAAGTGCCTCGGTTTAAACAAAGCCCCTCAACACCAAAGCCTGAGACTTATAGTCAGCCTTTTTTGGACTGGCGTTATCATAGACGTTCTGTTCTAAACCAAGGAGTCGTGAGTATGATGATATTGCTACCCGAACCCTGACGTGAGACCAGGCACCTAAACCCTAAATATCCCCAAACCCTAAGACACTCGAAATCCGAAGTTCGCGGCGAAAACGCAAGGCTTTTTGACTCCGTCAACAAAGATGGCGATGTTACATGGAGCCTCGGGTGTGCACTTTGGGTTTAGTGTTCTGGATGAAGAGTCGGGTTTCCGGGTCTTACAAGAATCCATAAGGTTTCGATAGATACCCATGGATGCATAAACATACACTTATATCTATATCTACATATGTACACACACATTTATATATATATATATATGTGCACAAATGTATGTATGTATGTATCTATGCATGTATGTATGTATGTATGTATGTATGTATGTTTGTTTGTTTGTTTGTTTGTATGTAGCATGTATGTATGTATGTATGTATGTATGAATGTATGTACCTATTTATTTATGTATCTATGCACGTGTGTATGTATGGATGCATTTAAGAATGTAGGGCACGTTGTCTGGATCAACCACATAGTTTTTTCTGAGATGGGTTTAGGCAGCGACAACCTCGAAGACTGAAGCCGGTACCGAAGAGAAAGTACGAAGAAGCAAACCTGACGCAACTGGGAAACAACTAAGCCCGAGGCTGACTCGCACCGAGCAGCGAGCATGTTTAGTTCGTCTGCACGTCATGAGCTTTCGACCTACAGGTGGTGGAATTCCCGTGTCCCACTCACTTGTCACCGGAAATTACTGTTCTGAACAGACTGAAATGGGTATCGTGCTCACGTGTTTTCCGCATACTCTCAAGATCGCCATGCCCTGCCACCACCTCCAACCTCCCGGGCTTTGTGGGCTTTCCAGGGCCTTTTGGGGCCGCGGCCTTTCATTGCTGGTTCAACTTCTCATTGGTAGCGTTTTCACCTCTCCATGATGCACCCCCACAANNCACAAAGTAGTAAGCATGTCATGGGCATCACAAGGCAGTATTCGTGTCGCCAAAACTCAAGACCACGCTTGACAACACAAGGACTTACAAACACTTATAGTGACCTATATAAGGTTTTACCACGACTTATTAGTGCTGAATAGAGCTTAAAGAGCTTGAATAAGGCCTAATCGCTTGGGAGGGCACATGCCTGCCACAGCTCAGGGCCCAAGGTTGTGGACGCTGCTTATTAGGCCTTAATAAGCCTTATGAAGGCTTAGATCATGCTAAGCCGGATTAGCGGTATCCATCTGCGGGGGCCCATTCTGGGGGGGCGCATAGTGGGCAGATGAACTTCGATAAACTACACCAATGACCAATCCATTATGCTTAGATATCAGTTCTCCTGAGTGCCCAGAGACTCCAATATCCCCTAATTAAGGAATATACCTTAAATCATATTAAGGATCCTTAAAAAATTTAAGGTATATTCCTTAAATAAGGGATATTGGAGTCTCTGGGTGTGAAATTGTTATTGTGAATTCAGCATACAAGCGGCCAAGCTGCCAACTAGTCCTGGAGCTATCAATGAATACAGCATGCCATCATATACACAATCGTCATTCTGTTGCATCGGGAATTGTCATCTCATCAAACCTAGATTTGTTATGTTATCAGACCTACAAGTGTTGTTCTCTCACACCGACAAGTCATGTTTTATCCCACACATAAGTGTCATTTTGTCCCGCCGGTAACTGTTACATATTTTTAGTTTTCGAGGTCTGATTGTTATTTTAGCATTATAAAATAACAGAACAGTATTCCAGCGGGTTGAGGACATCTACCCTAATGAGGCTTGGCCAGTTACTGTTAGAGGCGAGACCTAGTGTATCAGTTTAACGTGTTTATTGTTTCGGGTTCAAGGCTGTCTAAACCTTTAACGTGGCTCTTGTGATCCCGACAGCTGGTACTAAGGAGCTACATTCCAGACACTGCTCCGGAAGATGTAAAGTTTGCCCACGGTGGCAAAAATGGCTATGACGACCAACCTATGCGTGAGTATTTGATTGAGCTGAAGTAACTGGGAGTTTAGCACATAGGGGGATCTCAACATAGACTCAAAGCAATAGAATGTTAGTCCCCTAAACCCTAAACCCGAATGCAAACCCGAATGCAGTGCTGGTTTCTGTGAGGGGCATATGCCTCGGTCCTCCCAGTGGAGCCCTTTCCTCGCTTTTCGCCTACTCGTAACAGTAACGAACCACAGGAGCGCTCCTTTATTCGTTCACGGTGTCGCCGGAGAATCCGGACAAGCTGAAAGACCCAGCCTAGGGCCTACGTAGATGGGAGTCATTCGCCCTCATAATACATAGAGCTTGGCGTGGTTCAGCTAGAGACAGAACTTTGTTGAGCTTAGCTTCAGCTTTTTTGGGTTGACTTGTCAGGGCCGGGGGCGACAGCAACCTTCCCGAAGATTGAAGAGCGGCCCGCGTGGAAGGGTGCCGGCTTGCCGACCCGATCATCTTGCCGTTGCAGGGCCTTGTCTGGGCCAATGGGAGTTTCCGACAGGAAGGGGTACCTTATTTTGGGGGTCCTTATAATAAGAATCCTACTATTTAGGGTGCTACATTAGGGTCTGAGCAACCAGCTGCTTGCTGTGAAGCCTGGCAGTTCTTATGGGTGTTGCATGTATGGAAAGAACCCAACTGGCTCAATGGCCGGAGCATCAGGCTGACATTGGTCGTGGCAGGATGGGAACGCTTGGTGCCACCAAAAATGCGAGCAGCTTCCAAAAGAGCCGGCATGCTGAAGTGTGCGTGATGAATGGAGGGTGTTTCCGAGTATTTTGCTTCAGATGCTTTGGAAGACCGGGTGGCCTGTGGCTTGGATAGCAAACCCGAAACCCTAAACCCTAAACCCTAGTATGTATTTGCTGCATCCACGAATGTTTGAGCTTTTGGGTCCTCTCGGGGTTCCCCTCAACCCTAAAAACAGATCCCACACCCTTGACGACTATGTAGACTGTTTGGAAAGGGTCGTCATTGACTTTCAGAATAGGAACGACGATGGAAGTAGTCCACTCCTTCTCTCTAATGATGATAACGATTTCATTGAGTTCCTGCTCATGGATCTTTGGGGGCGATTTGATGCGTCTTCTGAAGCTTTGGTGTGGGTAGTGTTTGGTTGTCACTTACCTTGCTTCCAGATTCTGTTACAGCAAGCAACATGCCCGCGCAGGTCTGAATAAGCAAGGAGGGAGGAGGAACACCACACAACGTAGCGCCCCTGATGCATGATGATGAGATGACGTCTGCTGCTGCTGCCTGCTATCAGGGTAATACACTGTGTGTTGATTGTTCTGCGCCGGACGCCCGCTCTATCTCCGTTTCACCACATGACCTTTGGACTGGCACGAGCCCCGGTGGCGGTCACTGAAGGGCTGGAACCAGAGACGCTAGCGCGCTTGCTGCACCGCCTGTCAGTGGACG